CCCGAATGGCATTACATTAATCTCTGAGAACAAAGTAAGGAACCTTGGTGTTATCTTTGACCAGGACATGTCATTCAACTCCCAGGTTAAACAGGTTTGTAGGATTTCCTTTTTCCACCTTCGGAATATTGTTAAGATTAGAAGCATCCTTTCCAGGAGTGATGCTGAAAAACTAGTTCATGCATTTATTACATCAAGACTGGATTACTGTAATTCATTACTCTCAGGAAGTCCACAGAATGTAGATGAAAGTCTTCAGCTTGTCCAAAATGCTGCAGCTAGAGTTCTGATGAGAATTAAAAAGAGAGATCATATTTCTCTTGTCTTAGCTTCCCTACAATGGCTACCTGTTAAATTCAGAATAGATTTTAAGATCCTTCTTCTCACATACAAAGCTCTTTATAATCAAGCTCCATCACACATCAGTGATCTGATTGTTCCATAAGTTCCTAACCGAGCACTTCGCTCTCAGACTGCAGGTTTACTGGTGGTTCCCAGAATATCTAACATTAGGATGGGAGGCAGATCTTTTAGTTTTCAGGCTTCTCTCCTGTGGAACCAGCTCCCAGCCTTAGTCCGTGAGGCAGACACCTTGTCTACTTTTAAGAATAGGCTTAAAACATTTTTATTTGATAGGGCCTATGGTTAAAATCTGATGTTAGCCTAAATCTGGACAAGTGGGGAAGTAGAGGGAGGTGGAGTGTACAGTCGGTAAAGACGGCTCTCCCTTGCCCAGCCTCCAACATGCCTCCATCTAAATAGGATAGATTATCCAGAGTTATCTCTGTAGTTATGCTGCTATAGGCTTAGACTGCTGGAGGAAACACTGACCACTTTTCACACTCTACTACTTTCTTCTACAATCTGCTCTTTAACTGTACTATTTTCTGCAATTTCAGCTGTTAATTTTATTTTCTCTCTAAGTGTTTTTCTCCCCAGAAGAAGCTACAATGATGTTCTGCTGAGCTGTGGTGGCCTCATGGAGGGGGCCATCGTCTAGCACAGTGGTTCCCAACCTTTTTCCCGAGGGACCCCTTTTTTACCAGTAAAATTTCTGAGGACCCCCTCTCATTCTCTCTTCCAGTACAAACAGTATCAAGAAATAATAAAATTGTTCAAGAACATTTTAATATGCTTTGATTCAATAGATAACAGCAATAGTAGGCTCCAGTACAGAACAAAGTCATTAACAAAACCAAACAGAGCATAATGTGCTTAACAGTTTGTATTACTTTTCTGAACACATTGTTTCTTGTAAACACTGATAAATCAATCATTCCTTTCAATAAACATTTGACACATAAAAAATACACTGAGCAAAATGTACTTAAATGTGTATATTACTGTTTATACTAGATTATTTACTGTAAAGGCTGTGATTAATCAACCAGTCCTACCTTTAATGAACTTTTGACACTTGAAAATAAAACAGTGAGCTGAGCAAAATGTTCTTAAAAGTGTGTTACTTTTTCTGTACTAATTATTTCCTGTCTTAATATCACTAAACTTTTCACTCATAAAAAAATGTGAGCAAAATGTAGGCTATAAACAACTAATAAATGAAGTTTTAGCCCCTTAAAGTGGAGAGGTCCTGGCGACCCACTGAGAGGCTTTGGCGCCCCCTTGTGGGGGTCGGGACCCCCAGGTTAGGAACCACTGGTCCAGCACATGGCTGCTAACCACTTAAACATCATCTCTCTCCTGATAATAACTTTTTGCTTTCCTTGACATTTGATGTGCTACTACTAGTTTACCCATTTAATTATAGATCCACTAGGATAAATACAATAAAGTTTATCTCTCACCAAATAGAATATTTACTAAGAAATCACAATATAACTATAGACACATTACTGACTGACTGTCTGTCTGTCTGTCTGTGTGTGTGTGTCTGTGTGTGTGTGTGTGTGTGCGCGCACGTGCGTGTGTGCGTGTGTGTGTGTGTGTGCGTGCGTGCGTGCGTGCGTGCGTGTGTGTGTGTGTGTGTGTGTGTGTGTGTGTGTGTGTGTGCGCCTGCTCTGTCTTCTCGATCCCCAGTGAGTCGTGGAGGATGGCTGCTTATACTGAGCCAGGATTCTCTGGAGGTTTCTTCCTGTTAAAAGGGAGTTTTCCTCTCCACTGTCGCTTTATGCTTGCTTAGTATGAGGATTGCTGTAAAGTCATGCAATTTGCTGGGTTCCTTATATAGGAAACAGTATTTCTGATTGGCTTAATGAACTGACCTGAATTGGAATGTTTATTATGTGAAGTGCCTTGAGACGACTCTTGTCGTGATTTGGCGCTATATAAATAAACTTGAATTGAATTGAACCACTTGAATCGTTTTTTTGATCTCCATAATGTATTTATAGCTAAATTATATTAGAAAGTTGTTTTGAGCTAATTTGTTTTGCAGAATTGCTATTGTAGCTTTAATCATAGCTTAAAAATGGCAAAAACCAGCAAAACTGGCATCTTTTTTTTTGCTTCCAACTAGAAAATTCTCATAGAAGCATTTGTTTCCAAATCATTGTTACATCTCTCTATTGACATTGTGTTTGTTTACAAATTGCACCGCTAAAAACGAGAAAAGAGCTAAATTGTGATTTAAAAAATGGACCAAAAACGATCAAATCTTACTTAAACCACATTCTGGTAAATTTTCAAGACTTTCTCATAATTTCAAGATTAACCAGAGACTATGTTGCATGCAGTGATCATAATAACACATGAGGGATGTGATGATTAAGCTCTTTGTCTTAACAGCATGAGCAAGATTTTTTATTAGAGTTGAGAATATGGAGAAATCTGCAAAAATATGTCCCAAATGTGTGCAGATCTGTATTCATAGCACAAGAAACAGTAATTACAAGAAGCCCTTAGCATTAAAAGGCCCAGTCCAACACAACTGGTCATTCTGCTCACGACATCCCTCCAGCAGCCTTCTATTAGAAGTAGGAGTATGTTGGAGTGGAGATAAGACAGACACTACAGCACGTCTCAACACGAGGGGGGGGGGGGGGGGGAGTCACATGAAACAGGCACCAACTGGTGTGTACAACAGGCTCTCCCCTTTCCACAACTATAATTCCAACTCTGCCCCACTCCCTATCTCCAGCCCCAGGAAACTCTCAGGGTGCAATTTACTGTGTGCACCAGACTGATAATACTGTCTCCAGGGCAGGAAGGAGAGAGTGATGGGCTGGGATAGAAAAGAGAAAAAGACAGAAGGAGATGGAGGGTAGGTGTGGGAGAAAAGAAGGACAGAAACCCCCGGAACATGAGCGAGGGAGAACACAGAAAAGAGGAAAAGATAGAAAGGAGGAGCAGCTATGTAATAGGTGTGGATAAGAAAAGAAGCGAAGCAGAGCGAGTGTCACCACGGAAATTACAAATGCAAACCCAAGAACCAATCTGCGTCAGTGCTAAATGCTCCGACGTGATTTAACAGGAGAAAAACTCAACTAACTGAATCACGACGTGACTCTGGAAAAATGCATCTCCTCCAAGTCGGAGGCACTCGAGTTAATGAGTTTTCAGCCAGCAACATTACTGAACTCCTGTAAAAACCTGAATCCTTTCTTCTTTTTTCAGATTACAAATTATAAAACTGTTTTTTGAATCAATGAAAAGAGGGAGCAACAGCTCCTCCAACAGGTCGTTAGCGGACGCCCAAATGATGGAAAACTAGATTTCTTTGATCCTTCAAAAACTCTTTCTCCTAATAAAACTTTAATATTAGAAAGCTACCCAAGGTACTGTGATGCTTACAGTAAGGGAGACTTGCTTTGATCCATTATCATATGAAACCATACCAGAGAGAAGTATTTTCATGAAAGAACAGCTGACTGAGACTTCCAAACCCCAAACGATGCTCAAGATAAACCCCTAAGTCCCTTACTTGGATTTTTATCCAATCCAACTAATATTGAAGATGCATCTTCTTTATGCACCAGAGAAAGGACATTTCCACTTGAAAAAAAATGTTTTTTTCATTAGTTCTGACTATAATCTGTCACTTTTTTTCATGCAGGCTGAACATGAAAATAGTCTCCTACACCTATCTCCTGCATTCGCTTCTGATAGAAAACAGACGGTGAAACTCTAGGATTAGAAAATCCTGACAGATCTACGTCACACTGTCACCTAACATTTATGGACTCGCCCATCTTGACTCACGACGGGGAAGGCTGTTGTTGGTTTAGCGTCCAGGAAACAGCAAAGAACGTCTTGACTAGCTGAAGCTAACAGCTAGCATTAGCAACTCCACCACACAGCAGAACTCCTTCAGGCTTGTGTTATTAAAGGAGATAAAACATAAACGTTGAAGACTAAATGGAGTCAGTGATAGAGTCGCATTTCTGGAGGGGTCCAAATATCAGGAATTAAGACTCCAAATCCTGGCGTCTGAATCTCAGCTTTGATGTGAGAATCTTCTAGATGCTGAAACAGGCGCACCAGAGCTTTTTTCCCCAGAGTACGACTTACAAGGCATTTATTCCCACTAGAGACCATTGTATTGATTAAACAAGTGAACCTCACCATTAAAAACACCGAATCAAGCTTTTTTCCCACTGTTGTAATGGTGAATCAATTCATAATCAATATATTTTGGCTTTATTGATGAGCTGTTTAGCTCATTCTTGAAAATCTAACTGTATGTGATACACCCAGATATCACGAGAGAAATAATTAAGAGGTTTCTTTTCAAATGCATCTTGAATTGCATCCTGCACATTTCATACACTTATGAGTGAAAGCCCTTCTTGCACAAGCAGAGGCATACAACACGTTGTTCGGAGCATCATTAATGGACAAACACAAGCTGAGAGCAGCTCAGACATAAAACCCGCAGGTTATAAAAGTTATGCATTCAACAAACCATGAAAAATTCTAACCAACTCATGCTAATCATATTTTAAAAATGTATAACAGATTACTTCGATTCCAGTCAGCAATTGCAACTTAATTGTGCTTCTGTGAGATTTAAAAACTAATGTGTGTGTGGTCAAACTGCATACCAGTTGTTTGGCTTTCTCAGCTTCCTGGAGAGTGCGTTGTCTTTCTCGGCTCATGGCTTTGGTCACTTCCTCCCTCGTTGCCTCCGGCTCTCGTTGTGCCATCTTGGCCAACTCGTCCTTCAGTATTGTCTGCTGGTGCTCAGATCTAAATGCATAAATCATGAATGGGTTTATTGCCGGTTTGAATTTATTATTTAAAAATTCCTCACATTATGTGCAGGAAACAACTTGTCCACAAGGGGGCGATACAGTCTAAAGTTAAGATGCCAAATCTCAGATTAACCCTGTTTGTGCAATGTGCAAAGTAAAGATGTATTTCCAACATTTTAAACCCAAACGATCCATATCGTATTTAATGTCAATTAGTATTGCAAATAATTAATCCCACAACTGCATTTACACCAACATCAGGTTAATTTTGTACTTTTTACAACAACTGAAGGTCTTAAGCAAAAATATTCACAGTTAAGTAAATATAAACAGTACTAGGGAATAAACAAACCTTGATTTCCTTTCAAATGTTAAATCTCTGGGGAGTGGGGAGGGGTTTGTCTTTGTTTTTTACCTAAATTACTTTTCAAGCAGCAAAAAGCTGCACAAAACAACAAAAACTTTTTCAAAATACGTGCAATAATGATGCCTTCAGTCACTAATTCACTTTTTAAGTTCGAGAAATTTTAACCAAGCCTTACAGAAAAAGATTTCAGTGGTTCATATTTATTTTATACTAAATCAGAGACTTAATTAGCTCCTGGGGAAGATCTGAAGACCAGTTTCATCATCAAAGGTGTTCCTGTTTGCCAGACATAAATAAGCTTGCTCTGGTGACCCTTGACCCCACCCACCTTCTCTGTTCTTCCTTGGTGAAGGAGGCTGGTTTGCTGGACTGGCTGCTTGGTTTGGCTCGTTGTTGTTGGCTCTGCTTTGCTTGAGAGTCAGAGCTGGAACCGTGAGAAGAACCTGATGAAAGGAAGACAGAATATCAAAGGGTTGACCCTTGATGGAGGAGAAAGGAGAACATTTAATAAAATCACTGCAATTAAAACTCAACCTTACAGGTAAACTTCAGTGAAACCAATTAATCTTTAGTAGAGAATGAAAAAAATAATAATTTTATATAATCAATTTCCCTCTGGGATTAATCAAGTATTTTTGAATTTGAATTGAATTGAGATTATATAAATATATATATACATATATAATACATATATATATAATAAATATAAATTTTATATATATATATACATATATATATACATACATATACATACACACATATATATATACATACATATACATACACATATATATATATACATACACATATATACATATACATACACATATATATATATACATACACATATATATATATATATATATATATATATATATATATATATATATATATATATATATATATATATATAAACACATCCTTTTGCTTGGGTGCAAGAGGTCCTGGGCTCAGATCCTGGACAAGCCCCCATGTTGCAGCCCCACAAGCTGGGCCTTAACATTTGAATAAAAAGGCACAACTTGTGAATAATAATTGTAAAACTAAGTGTTTTAGCTCTGTTGGCTGACTGGAGATGCACATTAACGAACAAGAGGCGTTGGGGCTTAAAGGTGCAATACAGGTTTTCACCTCTAGATGGTGCGCTCTGACAAAAGCTCAGGATGTCTTTTTTTAATGAGTTGTTTTCATTTAATTTAATGATAATTTAATGTAGTAAATTCATTACAGTACATTTTAATTACAGTTTGGTTGCAAAAAAAAGGCTAAACTTGTTTCTACAGACAGACAAAATCTGGTTATGTTGCTAGTAAAGAATAAAAACTGTCTTGTTGTGTATTTTTAGTTAAAAAATTAAGAAGAAAAAACAAGAAGGAAAGTGATTTTTTTTCTTTTGTGGTTTTGTTAAATTATTATATTAACAAGAGACAACTGGACCTTGAATTATATAAAGTAAACGGTGTTATTTAGGAAAAAAAAAGAGCGAAAACCTTTATCATTCTGGGGGCTCGGAGTTGAAGATGCTGATCGATTTGGAGCAATGTTGGCTACTCCTCTCATCCTCTGAAGAACGTCTTCTGACAGCTGACAAAAGAACAAATACAAATTTGATACAGCCAAGTTGAAATAAATACAAGCAAAATATTAGATCCTAAAGTTTTATTTTCTGTTTAAAATTTGGATTACGTGTTGTGACTTTTAATTTAAAAAATACTCTTATTTTTGTCTGGAACGGATCCAGCAAAACTTATTTATGAGCACACAGACTCACTGCAGCTGTGTAGTTTTGCCATTTGTAGAACCGTGTGTGTTTCGGGCATCCAAGGAAACTGTTAAGCTTTGTCTAAAACCACAGAAGGTCGTGCCATGTGTCGATGACTCACAGCATCTGAATGTGAAACTCAGTCTGGCAAGAATATTTATTTATGCGATTTTAACTTTATTGTCTTCTAATGAGACATTTTCAGACATTTTGATAATAGCAGGCAAAAAAAAATCCCTAATTATATTATTCGTTTTCCATTGCCCAGTGACCAGATGAATGAATGGTTAATGGTAAATGGCCTGTATTTGATATAGCGCCTTCTAGGGTCCTGGAACCCCCCAAGGCGCTTTACAACACAATCAGTCATTCACCCATTCACACACACATTCACACCCTGAAGGTGATGAGCTACGATGTAGCCACAGCTGCCCTGGGGCACAATGCACAGGCGCCACCGGTCACTCCGACCACCACCAGCAGGCAAGGCGGGTTAAGTCTCTTGCCCAAGGACACAACGACAGCGACAGACTGAGCGGGACTCGAACCTGCAACTTTCCGATTACGGGGCGAGCACTTAACTCCTGTGCCACCGTCGTTATTACATTGCTGTTAATGGAACACAGAAATATAAAGAACATTAAAAATCATAGCCTAATTCTGCATCTACATAACTACATTCAACCAGTATGTGTCTTTTTCCACAATCAAGGTGTCATTTTGCAATTCAAATATATATTGTTGGCTTCATATTATTTTTGACACTTCCATAATTTACATTGTCACTTCAAAAGTTGAATAAAACCCAAGAATTCGATTTCTGAACGTGTTCATGAACGCACCCAACTGCCATTGAGACAGCCCTTCGCCAAAGTCCATTCAAATGTTGTTTATTTAAAGTCTCAATGCTGCAAAGCTAACATGATCTGCTGACATTAAAACATATCTATTACGATTTAGTGGTAGCTCGATATTGCAAGTAAAATAATAAATATATAAACAAAATTGAAAAATACCGAGAAGTTTGTTTTGATTTAATCTTTCCTCAGCTAAAGTTGCTACCAGTTTTAGTAACTAGTTACATCTACAGCCACTACGTTAAATTTATCTGAGCCGGATTCACCGGAATGCCTTTAAATATGTCATAGTTTATTTGTTCAACAGCTATATTTACTGTGTTACTCATTATCAGAGGGTACTGCTACAAAATAGCACATGTTGGCAGAAGTTTGGCGTAGCAAAAAAAGGACACCTCAACCTGCCTCGGTTCCTGCATTCTCCTCCAACCTTCATGCTTTAACAGGTGATGTTAGGATGACAGGCTTACTTACGCTCAAAAGTCGTGAAGCAACATGTTAAACGCTGCTTCGTTGTCAGCGTAGCACTAAAGTAATATGTTAGCATGGCTTGTCAAACGCTAGCTAAATTAGCCTTACCTTTATGCCACGAAGAATCCTGACTCTGTCCTCATCATCAACCCCGAAAGATACTTTTCTAGTCGTACTTTCTCCGGACCCCATCTTTATTGTGATAAGCTATATTTTTAAACAGCAAATGGATCTAGTGCACTACTGTTTATGTCGTCCTCAATGACAATGTGTGACAGATGGGAAACGGGTTGCCAGATTTGCTATAAAGAACCCTTTTTGTTGTTTGATATTTAAATGCCAAATATTTAGGTGAATAATATAATCTGTTCCCTGGATAGAAATGTTTAAAATATTTTTGTTATAACTATCATAAATTGTATTCGTAAGTAAATTTTAAAACGTTTCAATCATTTTACCTTTACGGGGTTTTCCTCCGTTCTGGCAACTCTAATTCCAGACGCTGCAAGACTGTGGAATGAATTTAAGTAAAAAAAAAAAGAATAACGAAACTAACATACAACTTTCTAGTACACCTATGTGATGAGCAGATTTACAAAATTGACTGCAAATATATTTATTTGTGCATAAATAATTTATTTTCGCAAAGCAGTTGGCCAGCTCAAGCTAAATGTCAGAGTTCATGTGAGCCACTGTTTGCCATTCACCAACTATATTCAGTAGATTACACACACACACACACACACACACACACACACACACACACACACACACACACACACACACACACACTTTCAAAAATCTATTTTGTGTTCAATGATCACACAAATTGGAAACATTATCCATATTAGAATATTTTATTTATATAAACATACCAAAAACAAACCAATCAACAAAAATAAAGGAAAAAAACCTCATGATCTTGCTTTTCCAGTAAATAAACAATTATGTTTGTATTGATCATTTGAACAGTAGCATCTGTCTTTTCCAGTTTTTGAGAATGTTTTGGCCCAAATGGTGAAACCCTGATACTGTATTTAGGACATAAATAACAAAATACAGATATGCAAATAAACTAGCATTTAAAGTGTTTCAGTGCTGAAACACCAAAGTAAAACCCTACATAATAGCATTTAAACAGATTTTATGCAGATTCAATGTAAGAATTATATTCCACTATTCAGCGTGATCCAGGACTCTGGTGTGTTCGAGTGAATGCTGAATGCTGGGTAAACGGGCTCCTTGAACACATGTCTAAAGGTGTGGAGGTGTTCCCTACAACCGTTGGTGCTGTGGAACTTTAAGGCCCCACCTTCATAGTCAAGAGCAATCTCAATCTTTGTAGGAGGACTGAGTGTTTCTGCCAAGGCTATATTGCTGGAGGCTGTGCACGCAGTCAGCTTCCCGTTTTTCCTCTGAAGTCTCCAGGACACTGTGTTGTGTCCCAGGCGACTATGGTCACCGCGCCGAAGGATGCTCTTGTAGCACACACCGAGGGACCACATGCAGCTGGACCCCACTTCTACCACCCACACGTGTATGCCACTTGAGAAACTCTGGGTGCACATGATCTGAGGAGCGCTAGCAAAACGCTCTGGGTGGTCCACGTATGACTGCTTGGTTGAGCTGTACTTGACCGTGCGCATGTCAGAGGAAATCAACAAGCTGGGATGTGCAGTGTAGACATTGAAGGTGAGCTCCTGGGGGTTCAGGAGGATGTGAAGACTTTCCAGGAGGCGAACCATTTCAGAGCGGAAGTCGTTGGTTTTGAGCTTTGACTGGAGATGCTTGGTGTTGAGTAGAATGTCAGGGGGGATTTCAGAGGAAATGCTAACTGTGGTGGCATCTCTAAGCTTCTGTTCGATCTTCGTGAATCTGGAAAGAGAGGAAGTGTCTTAATATAGTAGCTTTGTCTGAGATGTAAACATGTTCAATGGGAAAGCAGGAGATGTATTTTGTAAAGAAAGAAAACAATATCATGAGGCACTTCACTATATATATATATATATATATATATATATATATATATATATATATATATATATATATATTGAAGTATAGAAAAGATTTCTAAATGTGTACCCATGTAAGAAGGCAGCTGGGTCTGTTTCAGCGAGGACCTCCTTTACTTTCTTCTGGGCATCGATCAGCTGCTGCTGTTGATCCTCCAGAGCACTCACTCCCAGCTGCCAGCTTTTCCGGTGCTGCCCTCTCTCCGTCTCCAGCAGCATGGCCAGCTGCTCCCTGTACCTGAACACATCACATCAGCAGGAGGATGAACTGTGATCTCATGTAGTTAGAATTCTGCCATGATCTGCTGTAAAATAAAAACCTGTAGAAACAAAAGTCAAATATGTAAAACACCAGTGGGTTTTGTGTAATATGTTCCCTTTAAAGAGCAAGTCACCCCCAAATCAACTTTATTTTGCTGATGCACTATACAAATGTTAATCATATTGTAGACATGTGTAGTTAATAATTAGGCACTTTTGTGCATCTTTGTAATAATTTTAATATTCTACGTAAAACTGTCAGCATTGCACCCACTTCAGGTAATAATTGTGCACTACATTTGAATGTAAATCTGCCATCGCTATTGGCTAAGAGGTACCCTATGACGTTAGCTGGTACCATATGATGTCACAATGCCGCTGTGAGCCTGTGTGTGTGTGTGTGTGTGTGTGTGTGTGTGTGTGTGTGTGTGTGTGTGTGTGTGTGTGTGTGTGTGTGTTAGCGGCTCTGCCCCCTTGGCCTGCCAGGCAACACCTCCTTGTGGCAAAGTTTTCAAACGGGAAATGGGAGTGGAGTTAGTCAGTTGGTGACTAGCTATTTAACTCGTTCGCTGCCAGCCATTTCCTGATTTCTAAAGGCCTTCACTGCCAGCGTTTCTCGCCGTTTTTACAGTTTTTTTTAAGAGTCACAGAATGTTGCGCGCTAGGATGATGTCGACGCCAAAACAACCAAAACAAAATGGAGACTCTCCTCTTACATCAGGAAGAATCCGCGCGTTTCGAGCGTTATCCGTTCTTTCATAATCCGTTGTCGAATTGTGATCGGCAGACGCCTTGCCGGTTCGCGCCTCACTTTTTTTACAGGAACGGTCCAAAGCGATCTCCTAACACATGGATGTTCTGTTTTCTGATCACGTGACATGTGACGTATGCGGAAGAAGATCAGCTTCAGAGCCGAGATGTTTGTTGTCTCGGCGACTTTAGTCGACTTTATTCGACTTTAGTTGTCATTGTCAGTGAATGAGTTAAAGGCCATCTTTCAGATCAGGTACCTGCATGTGTTTGTGTATTACCTGTCCACCATTGATTGGATGCTGTCCATAACTGAGACGGCCTTTTTGATCATTCTGTCTGCCGCCGCCTCAGAGACACCCTTACTCTCTGTGGCCTTCTGCAGCAGCTTCTCTATTAGCTGCAGCCTACTGGACACCACCTGCAAACATCAGAAATAATTTGTGATACACACAATGAATGGAGAAACTGGAATAAGTGGATGTTCTAGTTTGGAACAAGATTAAATCAAAGAGTAATCAAGAAATAAAAAATAACCAAAGCGTGAGCAATGACATGGCAGGTTTGAGAATGTCTGATCTAGCTTTGTGATCAGTCCGGTGGAGTTGTGAAGTCCCTACAATGTTGATGGGCTCACAGTGTTCTCACCAGGTAAAATCTTTTATTCTTGGCATTCCTCTTACATAATCTGCATTGTTAATCGCTTGTTTGCCACTCCAAACGTTCCATCCCTACGTAGCAGTTTTACTTCATCAAAAACGAAAAGAAAAGCTACAATTTTTAATGTTCATTTATTCGATTAAAAACAACATCCTATGCTGCCAGTGGTGGAATGCAACAAAGTACAAGTACTTCATAGGTACTGTACTGGTACTGCTTTTCTGTATCTGCACTTTAGTAATCTTATTGAAGTCTAGTTTTACTTTTACTCCACAACACTTTTCAAAATGTTTGACTTTCAAGTGACTTTACTTTACTTTTCGTTTTAGTCCTAACTCTCTAACGCCGGAGCGTCTTTATGCTCCTGTTTGTTCAGCTCTTATTGTAAAGAAAGGTCGAGGAGACTTGCTCATCCAGGGTTGGTTTGGTGTATTTAGCAACACTCTAAATGCATATTTAAATGAATACTTTTACTTTTTTACATTTAAGTAATTTTAAAGTACAAACTTCAATACTTTTAAGATGAAAACTCCTTGGGTACTTTCACTTTTACTTAAGTCGTTTTTTACCCTCTTTTCACAACTTTGACCTCCACAGAAAGGTCACCAACATCTTGACCTTCTCCATGTAAACCAGAATCTAAATCCGCATCAGGATGTTGGATCTAATACAAAATGTGTCAGTAATTTAGCTTTAGCTGCAACTTGACCTATTGCAGACGATGAGCAACGATGCAGGGAAACATCCGTGGCATAAATATCAGGACTAGTGAGTCAATACCTTGCTGCGGCTCTCCAAGGCTCGTCTCATCTCCTCTTCTGCCACACTGAAGGTGAGAACATCGTGGCTCTGGTGAAGACCTTCTACAAGGCATGAGGAGCACAGAGAGGCCATGTCACTGGAACAAAAGTAGCCAAGAGGACAATGATGGATGGAGCAGCCCTTTGTCCCCAGCTCACTGAGGGGCTCCACCGTGGTGTGGGACTTAAAGGACTCCTTCTCATTGTGCTTCTGAAGATGCCTGGAGCACAAGGAGACCTCACACTTCAAGCAGCTCTTCACAGCTTCTGATGGGTTGTCTATGCAGTGGTCACAGAAAATGGCAACCTTCTCTGAGTCAGCCTCAGTCGTCGCCTCGATCTTGATCTCCTCATAAATTGGTGATGCGGTGGCTCGATAACCTTCAACAATGTTGGACAGTTTGAAGTTCCTCTGCAAGGTCTCCAGGCCTTCGTACTCTTCGCGACACTCTGGGCAACGAGGACGTATTTTGCAGCTGATCTCTTGGGAGTCTGCTGTCTTGCAGATGCAAACCCTGCAGTAGTTGCGCCCACAAGGGAGGACCACCGGATCGCTGTAGAGATGAAGGCAGATGGGACAGCTCAGCTCCTGGGCCAGTTGCTCCTCAGGTTTTGATGAAAACATGATGAGAATTTGCTCTTCTTCTCCTCTGCTATCAGTCCTGTTAAAAACCTCTGTACATCCTCTGCTCTTGGATCTTATCTCCAGGTCTCAGGGAGTGAGACTGCTGGTGTTTCAGTAACAAAGTGAACAGCAAAGTCAGCGACTCGTACTTGAAGCATGAAAAGAGGTGGTTCTAAACTTGTTTTTAGGACAACATTCCATTACTTTCTGTTTGTCTGCACTGCCAGGAAGCCACGCCAGTATCAGGGCTGCTGTTGTGATGAACTGGTTCCATTTCACAGTTAAATAAAAAAAATAAAAAAAGATACAACAAAGAGAAAAATACTTTTCAGGCGATGTGTAAAAGTCACACTGCGATGGAGTGGCAACCTGCCCAGGACGTACCAAAAAGGGTTTGCCCAGAAGACTGCTGGAGACGGGCGCCAGCTCCCCGCGGCCCTTCGTGGATATAGAAAATAGATGAACTGATGTTACTAACAAAAGGTCAAGTGTTAATTCTAATTATACAAATCTGAATATTTCCACAACAACTGGTGTCTTCAGATACTGGCAGAGGTGGAAAGATTACTAAAATTTCCTACTTAATTACGAGTAACAATACTTTGATAATTTGTTACTCAAGTACAAGTAAAAGTATTTGCCTAAATTTTTACTCAAGTAAGAGTAAAAATTATTGTAAATTAAATGTAGGAAAGAACCACCATAAATCTGCTCATGTGGTAAGTAGCAGCTATGCTAGGGGAGAGGAGATTCTGTGGTGACGTCACATATGCGACGTGCCGATTTCTGGTGTGTAGTCATGCTAATTACAAACTTTTACAAGTTGATGAATCTCAAAGTACGTGACAGGATCCTTACTTTTCATTTAACCCTCTGGAGGCAGGCGTTGCAGATTTGCAACGTTAAAACCTACCTACCTGGTTACGCCACATATGTATTTCATGAGCACTTATTTACTCAGAAGTACCACTGAAGGACTTAGTTGTTCATCCTTTTACCAAAACTTATTTCTAGCCTGAGAGGGTTAAATTGCAGTACAACATATGTGTGATCCAGGGCGTAAGGCAAAGCGGATTAGAAAATAGCCTTTTTAGCACAGTTGACTTGCATTCGTTTTTTCATTCTTCCGAAGACCCATTAGCCGACCGGAAAGGGAGGACCCTTAGGCTCCCTATTGGTCCCTGCGGAAATCTGATTGGACCCCTGAAGGGCCCCTGTCCAGTCACTAATCTGTACGTTGGACGATGATTCCCTTTCAGTTTACCTACATAGCACCAATTGACAACAAGAGTCATCTCGAGGCACTTTTTCAAAGTTCACTTTTCAATTGAACCTACTCGTTGGTGCAACGTGTTCAGTTCATTATGCCAGTCAGTTAAAATTTTCCTATGTATGAACCAGTCAGATTATTGGTGGATGCACTTCCAAGTCCAAAAACTAGTGAAGCTAATGAGAAAATTAGGAATTTCCAGCATGAACTCTTGTGTAAGGATGGTGGACTGAGACAAATATTGTAGCCCCCTGATGACCCCATACTCAGAAAAGTCTAGATCCGCCTCTGTTTCCAAGTAATTCACTGAGTGCATTTTGAAGAATACAACCCACCCATCCCCTTTCCCATACCCTAGTGACAATCTCTAGCTCCTCCTAGAGACTTCCAAGGCATTCCCAATCCCAGGCAGGAGCAGATACAAAGTCCCTGCAGCAAATCTGGGATCTGCTCCCGGTGGGATGTGACTGAAAACCGTCCACGGTGTAAGGTCAAAGGTGCTACATAAATAGTTTACTTACTCATGGTGTAAATTTATTGTAATAATCTGTCTTTCAGTCATGACTCAGATCTCACAGATCCATCTATCCGTCTCTTCCTCCATCCAAGATTAACTCCTTCTCTCGCAAACGGGAGGAAGCATTCCCCCTTTTCCAGTTTAAAACCAGCAAACCACTTGAAGATATTTTACTGTCTTCAAATTGATCTTCAGAGATCCTTTAGTTTGTTTTGTTTCACTTCATGAGCAAACAGAATAAAATTCATTAGTACAGAAAAATTAATTAACAAATATTGAAATATTTCTACAAATATTTCTATTTCTCTCCAAGATGAACTACCTGAGATATAAATGGTTGCTTAAAGGATTATGTTTCATATCTGTGTTTGTTTTGTGTAAGCTGCATCAACAGAACGGGACAGAAACAGAAATAAAGAAAGAAAAACACAAATGAAGCTGTTTGTTGGACTTTTGCTGTAGTTTCTATTAAGTCGTCGTCGTCTTCCTCCGCTTATCCGGGTCCAGGTCGCGGGGGCAGCATCCCAACTAGGGAGCTCCAGACCGTCCTCTCCCCGGCCTTGTCCACCAGCTCCTCCGGCAGGACCCCAAGGCGTTCCCGGACCAGATTGGAGATGTAACCTCTCCAACGTGTCCTGGGTCGACCCGGGGGCCTCCTGCCGGCAGGACATGCCCGAAACACCTCCCCAGGGAGGCGTCCAGGAGGCATCCTGACCAGATGCCCAAACCACCTCAACTGACTCCTTTCGATCCGGAGGAGCAGCGGTTCTACTCCGAGTCCCTCCCGAATGTCCGAGCTCCTCACCCTATCTCTAAGGCTGAGCCCGGTCACCCTACAGAGGAAACTCGTTTCGGCCGCTTGTATCTGCGATCTCGTTCTTTCGGTCATTACCCAAAGCTCATGACCATAGGTGAGGATTGGGACGTAGATCGACCGGTAAATCGAGAGCCTGGCTTTCTGGCTCAGCTCCCTCTTCACCACGACAGATCGGCTCAGCGTCCGCATCACTGCAGATGCTGAACCAATCCGCCTGTCGATCTCCCGATCCCTCCTACCCTCACTCGTGAACAAGACCCCAAGATACTTAAACTCCTCCACTTGAGGTAGGACCTCTTCCTGACCCGGAGTTGGCAAGCCACCCTTTTCCGGTCGAGAACCATGGTCTCGGATTTGGAGGTGCTGATCCTCATCCCAGCCGCTTCACACTCGGCCGCGAACCTACCCAGCAAGAGCTGAAGGTCAGAGCTGGATGAAGCTAGGAGGACCACATCATCCGCAAAAAGCAGAGAGGAGATTCTCCTGCCACCAAACTCGACACACTCCACACCACGGCTGTGCCTAGAAATTCTGTCCATAGAGGTAATGACCAGGAAATAATCAATGAGTTAAAGGGAAAAAAGACATTTTCCTACTATTCGAGTCTTTTGACCCAATTATAATGTCCTACAGTTTATTAAAATGAATTTCTGGCTTGAACCTATACATTCCTGTAAAACAGCTGCCATGTTTTCCTCCTTGTTGTGTCTTTTTCCTCCTGACAAACTACATCGCTGAAAGAAGACTTAATGTAGATCATTGAATCTTGTCATTATTATTTAGATATCTCATCTTGTCTCATGGGTCTTTTCTTGTATTTTCTCTTACTTTCACTTTCACTCCTGTATGTTTCTTGCTCTGCTGATCGCCAGCACCACCTTGTTATGTTTCATTTGTGCCTTTCTGACTCACCGATCCGGCTCTTTGTTCCCAGGGACTGAAAACCAGACATTTGGGCAGATTGAAAACTGGAAAATCAACTTTAACTCTTGCAGTTGTAATTTGTATGCGACTCAGCCGGATTCTTTTTGACTTGACTCTGAATTAAAAGATGCAGCCATTTGCCTTTAACCCTCATAACTCAGGAGTGCGTCCTGAACTCAGCAGGTTTATTTCCTCTCATTGAAACTATTGAATTAATCTACTCTTTGCCTGTTGACCAAAAATACTTTAATGTCTAAGCAGTGAGAAATATATATTTTTTTTAATTTTGTCTTTAGGGAAATTGTATTTTCTGTAGACACAAGACATGCCAGGCCTGTTTCCACCTCAGTTTTTGTTTCTGCAAGTTTGAATCCTCCATCTGCAGCTCTACCAGCAACTCCTTTTGTCTTTCTGTGTCATTTATGAAGATCTGCTTTTTAAAGTAATCTTGATTTCAAGTATTGACCTTAAAAATTATTAATAATATAATTTTAATTGGTCAAAGTTTAGACTAAAAGTGTTTGACCAAAAGGGAAAAACAAAAACAACAAGGTGACATCATCATAAGTGAAAGGGCAAAAACCTGAAACGTCTTTATTTGCACAGGAAGGAGTACAGTTGCCACCTAATGGCAGAAATTATAATATTCCTTAAATATTATTATTCAAATATGACGAGCTGTTGAGTTTTAGTGATGTTTGCTTGAGTTAAATCTGTTTTTTTTATTGTGCCGTTCTATTGTTTGTGTTGTGAGCCGGGAGGTGAGCACTCGCCACACTCCATCATCTCACCTGTGTTTTGAGCTTCTCTGGTTTCAGGAGAGAGAGAGAGCAGCAGCTGCGTCCCATCAGCTGATTAGCGGGCCGCCTTCATAAGGAGGACGGAGGATGCTTCTTGTTGCCAGATGATTACGCCTCTCTGGTAGAGTCCCAGCCCTCGTAAAACTTGAACCTTGTCTTAAAACCTTTATTGTATCGTGTTTTTTGCCCTGACCTAATTCCGGTTTTTTTTTACGCTCCAGGCTCAGTCATCCCTCCCCATAACCTGCATTCTCGTTTTTGGATTCCTACTGTGTTACCATACAGCTCTCGGTCTTCCTCCTCGGTCCTCGTCCTCTCCACTGATTCCAACCCGCTCACTGCACAGTCTGCCCTCTCTCTCCTACCTGCTGGATACCCATCACTCTGCGCTCTTGGATGTTCCCTCGCTCTCCTGGCTCACCCCTCCTCGGACACACTACTCCTCTCTCCCAATCACGCTGCTTCCCGCTCTCTCACCCGCTGGATTTCCAGTGCACCTTTAGTTATTATTCTAATAAAGATTTTTTTTCTTCTACATCCTGCCTCCGAGTCTGATTCTGCGTGTCCTGGGTTAAACACTTGCCACAGAACATGACAGTTTGAGGGATTTCTTTATCTTGTATGTAGCTCGTGCATAAATGTTCTTCAGTCCCCAGGAACAGTAGCTGCTGTTCCAGGTGCTAACAGGGATCCTAAACAAACAAGGGTTGCAGAAACATTTAACAGGCACAGCGTGTGCTAACTCGTTGA